AAATAGCCACGTGCGTGGGGCGCCTGGGGGGCTCAGTCGGTTGAGCGGCCGACTTCGGCTCAGGTCGTGATCTCACAGCCTGTGGGTTCGAGCCCCACGTCGGGCTCTGGGCTGACAGCTCGGAGCCTGGAGCCCGCTTCCTGTCCTGTGTCTCTCTCTGTCTCCGCCCCTCCCCCACTCTCACTTTGTCTCACTCTTGTCTCTCAAAAATAAATAAATGTTAAAACAAAATTTTTTTAATAAATAAATAAGTAGCCACGTGCGGCTTCCTATTGGATAGCCAGTGCTAGAATGTTCTAGAATCCACAGAGCCCATTTCTTCAACCGTTCCTTGTAGGGCAGGGAGAAAGGACAGTGGGACTGTAACCAGCCCAGTCTCTTGCTGGGGGACCCTAGACAGGCCTGTTTCTCCCTGGCCTCCGTGTCCCCATCTGGTAAATGGGAAGGTGGTAATGATAACAATACCTGCCTGACCGGCTTGGGCACACAGTGGGGACTCACCCACCCCAAGCTGTGTCCACAGGCTTTTATAAAATTAAATAAAGTTAAGCTGGGCCTTTTATCCCCTCCCGGCCCTTTGGACAGCAGGGAGTGGGGCATCTGGAAAGCTGGGTCTGTTTGCTCATTTGTCCAATCTGTGAGGACTTAGTGAGCACATACTATGTGCCTGGCCCCATACTGGTCTCTGGGATACAGCTGCTCCCTCACGGGGTTCAAGGTTCCCTGCTGCGGCATCAGGTTGTCCGGGGGCCACCTAACCCAGCAGTGGACTCAGCCCGGGTCCTCGCATGGAACTCTATGCATCGATGAGGGACAGGTCATAGGGACGCTTCACTAAGCCACCGTGGAGAGAGGGCTGGGCCGATGGGCCTCTGGGCAGGGAGCAGAGGAAGGGTGGAGGAGAAGGGGACAGAGATGGTTGAGGACCCAGGCTGGGCAGTGGGGACGAGACACTCCCCATTTAGGCCCTAGAGCACCGCACTCTTCCCGTGATCCACAGCGAAGAGGGGCCTGAATGCCGGCTGATGAGACAGCAGAAAGCGAGCCAGGCTTCGGGGCCATCGGATCCCCGGCACAGAGCCTCTGGGCATCCACATCCGCTGCAGGAGACCAGCTGGGCCGGTGCCAGGCACACTGACGCAGACATTTTGGCCTGGGCAAGAGAGAGACCCAGCAGGGGGAGCAGGGCCTGGCCACCGACCCCCGGGATGAGCAGCAACCCCCCACGAAGGGAGAATGGGGACCAGGCCTGTGTTGGAAGCTGAATATGTACTGGCTAGTGTGATCCTCAACACAACCCAGGGAGATATGGACTGTTATTCTCCCATTTTCCAGAGGAGAAAACAGAGGCCCAGGGGCCAGAAGTCACAGGGATTCATCTAGTCCAAGCTTACACTGTGCCCAAGACCCTGTTTCACCACCACCTTGGGGCTGTCCTTCCCCCAGAGCTTTTCTGGGAGGTGCTAAAATACAGTCTCCTGGGCACCGCAGCTCAGGGAGGGGGGGACCCCAGGCTCCGGGCTAGGTCTTGAACCCTGCATTTCAACCAACTCCTGGGCAATGCTGTGTACACAGCCCCCACTTGAAAGCCCCAGGATCGTGGGGGCGGGGTGCATCACCCCCAGGTCACATCTAATTCCTGGCCCGTTGTGCCACAAAAGCAGCCTCAGACTGGCGCAGACGGACCTGGGTTCGAGTCCTGGTCTGGCCTCAGCTTCTCCATCTGCAAAGTGGGGCTGCCTACTCCCTGTCCCTGTCCTGGAGGGGTTGCAAGGGCTCAGGGAGGCGGAGGATGGCTCAGTGAGCACCAAAAGTTGCGGACACCGCGGCCGTTGTCACACCATTCTTTGTGTCGGTGACCTGGGGTCAGCTTACTTCGACCAGCCAAGCAGGCACTGAAGTAGCACCGCTGTGTGCAGGGACACCGGGTGATACAGGGCTCAGGGCCAGCCGTCGGTGATCCAGCAGGCAGGGGAGGGGTGGAGAGATGGCTGTACAGACAGACTCACGGGCCCTGGCAAGGCGTAGGGAGCCGTCAGGAGGCAGAGGGGTCCCCGAGCTTGGGGTCTGGATGGCAAAGACTTCCCGGAGGAGAAGCCACCCTCCTGGGCTGGAATGAGCGCCCCCCTGCCCCCTGGGAGCCGGGAGCCCTAGCCCCCTGGTCTTTTTCAGGACTCCGAATCGGGAGAAAACGGCTTCTCCTCTCCCAACCTCAGTGTCCCCATGGGTAAAATGAGGGGTGGGGTCAGATGATGTCTGGAGGGACTTTGGCCGTCAGAAGGCAGTTTGGAGTGAGCCCGCAGGGATGGGCACCGTTTGGGTGGGGGGAGGAAGCTAAAGGGGGCATTCCCGGCAGGGGGCAGGGGGGAATGGCTATAACGCAAAGACGCGGAGGTGCGACGGTGCCTGGGTGTCCCGGGGGCAAAGCGGACACTGGGTGGCCCCAGTAGGGATGATGCCGAAGGAATGGGGAGCCAGGTGGGACACCCAAATGGCAGGGAAGAAAACCACATAAATTACAACCAGAATAGCACCATTTACTCGGCCCCTCTATGGGCTCAGCTACATCGATACCCTTCCGGGATCCTCGCGTTATGGGGAAACAGGCTCAGGACAGTTAAGGGACTGCTGAGGGTCTCAGTTTCTCTCTCTGTGAAATGGGGATAGCATGGAGCCCAGGGTCTGGCATACAGGCAGTGCTCAATAAATGGGAGCCGCTAGTGGAAACAGCAACAGAGGCAGGTCCGCGAGACCAGAGTCCAAAGCTTCGATGTACTTCTAGTCCTCTGGGAACCTAGCTAATGTGACTTTTGACGTTAATATTGGTATTAATAATGACAGCTAAGTCAGACACCGTTCCAAGGGCTTTACACACTTAATCCTCACGACGCCCTATGAGACGGGAAGTGTTGTTAACCCTATTTTACAGATGGAAACTGAGGCTCAGAGAGGTTAAGTCAGTGGCCCTGGGCACACAGGTGATTAGAACCCAGAGCCCAGGCTCTTAACCACTCTGGGTCACCTGCTGCCAGAGACTTTGCTCACTGGTGGCACGCAAGAAGCCGGTTCGTTTGCAAGCTCCCCACCACCATCCCGGGGACTCTGGTAGGGCCCCACCTTGAGAAACCTACCGGCAGTGGCTCACCTCTATCCATCCCTCCCTGCTGCCCCAGCGCCAGACGGGGCCACGTGGGCAGTAGGGAGCTACAGCAGGTAACAGAGCAGGAGCAGGGTTCACACCACCAGCCTCTGGGAGGTGGGCCAGTCATGGGGGGCAGAGGGGTGGGTGGGGACCAGCCAGACGTCCCCAATAGCGGGCCTGCCCTTCGGCCTTACCCCATGGTCTCCACGGGCCCGAGGGGACAGATGGCATCGCCCAGGCCTGGGCCGCGGCTGTCACTCGCCAGATGAGTTACGAGCAGGCTGAAGGAGTGGCAGCCGGGGGTGGGAAGGGGCTACAAAAACAATTGCAGGGAGACCCCGGGACAATGGGGGCCACGTGCCATGGGGGCAACAGTCGTTTGTCGCACAATGGGCCGCCGGGGGGGACAGAAGCCAGGCCAACTGCTGCTGCTGACAGGGCCGGCCGGGTTTTCAAATCGTTTCCAGGCCCTGTTTTCCTACAAGGCAGCCAATCGCTGGGGTAGCCGGGCGGTCACCTGATGCCAGCTTGGTGGGCTGAGGGCCGAGGCCGGCGACAACCGAGCAGTTGTGGCCATGGCAACGCTAATTGTGGCCCTAAAACAAGGGGAGAGAGAGAGAGCGGGTGAGGTGGGAAGAAGGGGGAAGAGAGGCTGAGACACCAAGGCAGAGGAGAGGGGACGCTAGCTGCGGTGGCCCGCAGGTGACAGAAGCCGAGGTCTACCGCGGGTCCCCTGTCACATGCAGGACAAAGCCAGAGGCTGCGTTGTTTTTTCTCTCTCCCCCTTTCCATGAAGCCCCGACACACTCCTGCTTGAAACGTGGAGCTTAGAATTTGGACCGCGGGCCTCCGGGCTGCAAACCAGAAAGCCCCTGGGCAGTTTGCAGCCACGTTACGACGTGGACAGGATGCTCCCATGGGGCATCTTGGAGCCTTGTGGCAAGCATGACTTTGGGGGTGCTGGGGGTCATGGTTACCCCACATCGGGGTACCTGCCTGCCAACCTCAGTGGGCAGCCTCTTCCTTCCCGTAGAGACTGATGGTTTTGCTCGCACATCTGTTGAGGGGTGGTGGGCCTGCGTCCCAAGTGGAGGCTCCAGGGGCTTCCTGGGGTCATGGTGAAGAGCTCCGCAACCTTCAGGCTGTACTGCCTGGTTTCCAGACCCCCCGCTTCCTGTTACACATGGCTTTGGCCCAGTGACTTGGGGCTCTGAGCCTCAGTTTCCCCATCTGTAAAAGGGGGGGGGGATGTGGGCATATCCTACCTCTCAGGGCTACTGTGGGGATCGAGCGGGATTGAAAAGGACTGTGCTTGTTGAGCACCGAGCCCTGTGCCTCAGTTTCCCCACCCATAAAATGGGAATCATAATAATACTACCTCATGAGGTGACCCAGAGATTTAAATGGGTTTCTGCCTGCGAAGGGCTTGATATGGTGCCAGGCACAGAGTAAGTGCTCAACAAACATGAGCGTTTATCATTCTGGGGGGAGGGGCTAACGTGAGATGTGTTAAGTGGGTAAATGAAGGAATGAATGATTTGAGGATGTGTGATCCTGGCTGCCAAAGCGGGAGGATCCTGGGTCCCCATGTCCAGCCCCGGGGACGGGCAGGTTAGGGAAGCTGGGGGAGGTGAGGGACTAAGGGGGCGATTCCAGAGGTGGGGGGGGCCCCCCCAAGAGCTGGCCTGAGCTCCCCGCCCCGCCCGAGCTCCTGCCCCTCCCTGCAGGCTCCTGGCCACCACCACCAGTGAGGACGACCTTCCCGGGGACCTGCAGTCGCTGTCATGGCTCACAGCTGTGGACGTGCCACGGCTGCAGCAGATGGCGAGTGGCCGCGTGGACCTGGGTGGCCCCAGTGCACCCCACCCACATCCAGGTAGGCTCAGGGGTGAGGTGGGGGCAGGGCATGAGGGTGGTGCAGGGGAGGGGCGGCGCTCAGCGCTGCCACCCCCCCGTCGTATGTCTTGAAGGTCTGAAGCAGTTAGCAAACTGTGGCCCGCGGGCCAGATGCAGCCGGCAACCTGCAGCCTGTTTGCTTTTTTTTTTTTTTTTTTTTTTTTTTTTTTTTATTGCCTTCGTGTTCAGAATGGTTTTACATTTCTCAAGGATGGTAAAAAACAAAAACAAACAAACAAAACAAAACAGAAGACAGAAGCTATATGGCTGGCAAAGCCTCAAATATTTGCTCCCTGGCCGTTTACAAAAGCCTCCTGAACCCTGATCGCCAAAGAGGTCATACGTGGAAAGTGCCGAAGGTCCTGGCACACAGTAGGTGCTCAATAAATGGCAGCCAGTCGCAGTCATAGCAAGTGGACTAAATATTTAGAGACCCAGAAAGCACTGGAGACCAACAATCAAGGAAAACCATCATCACATAATGTTAAAAGGACCGACAGTTGAGAAATTCGTGTCTAGGATTATTTCTTTCGTTGAACAAACTGTTCTTGGCCAAAACATCTATAGCAGGGGTCAGCAAACTTTTTTTTTTTTTTTTCAACGTTTATTTATTTTTGGGACAGAGAGAGACAGAGCATGAACGGGGGAGGGGCAGAGAGAGAGGGAGACACAGAATCGGAAACAGGCTCCAGGCTCTGAGCCATCAGCCCAGAGCCCGATGCGGGGCTCGAACTCACGGACCGCGAGATCGTGACCTGGCTGAAGTCGGACGCTTAACCGACTGCGCCACCCAGGCGCCCCAGGGGTCAGCAAACTTTTAACGTAAAGGGTCAAGGAGTAAATATTTTAGACTCTGTGGGCCATACGGTCTCCGTTGAGATGCTCAACTTTGTCACTGTGGCGCAAACCCAGCCCTAGACAATATGTAAACGAAGGGATGTAGTCGTGGGCCGGTAAAACTGTGTTTACAAAAACATGCTGTAGGCTGGGTTCGGCTGGCTGGCCGTGGTTGGCCAAGCCCCGATCGAGAACTTCCAGCTGTGTGACCTCGGGCAAAAGGACCTGTGTCCTCCTCTGCGACAAAAGGACAGCCGCACTGCCCTCGCGGGGCGACGCGGAGACGTGACGCCGAAAGCTCCTTGCACGCACAGTCGGGGCTGTGTGGCACACGAGCGGGAACCCTCCCCTCTCCACCGTGTTGCCGCACGCCTCCTGTGTCCCTGTCTCCGTGCCAGGGGTTTGGAGCACTGGGTCATATAAGATGTGGTCCTAGTTCTCAGGGAGGAGCTGAGGGCAAGGCAGACAGATCACAGGCACAAGGGCATGAGCCCAGGGGGTGGCAGCCAGGACTCAGAGGAGAGCTTCCTGGAAGAGGAGGCCCCCCGGGCAGGATCATCTTGCAGGTCAACTTTGTTTCACCTGGAAGGTAGCCCCAAGTCAGAATGGTACAGTGAGCATCTGTGATAGATTAGCCATGCTAATCTGAGCTAATCCTTGGCGGACGAGCAGGACTCAGCAAAGGGGAGACGAGGCACAGAGGCATTTAGAGCTAAGCCTAGAGGACTGGGGGGTGGAGGCACGTTTTTGAGGAGAGAGATGAACATAATGAGTTGATGCTTTAGCTTCACGATGGACGAGAGCCAAGATGTTCATGACATCATCATCATTAATTATCCGCTCGTATTTATCGAGAGCTTATGTGCCGAGCAATGTAATGAGCACAACCTCCTGACAACTTCATACGTAGGTAATCTCGGTAGTGCCGCTGTACAGATGGGGAGACTGAGGCTGGCCCAAGGTCACACAGCTGGTAGGAGCCCACTGGTCACTCCCACGCTCCGGGGCAGTGGTTTGCCAAGCACCTGCTGTGCACCTGGGTGGGGGACGGCTCCATTCTCTGGAGGTGCCCAGGGACTGAGCTGCTCTGACCCACTCCTCCAGCCCAGCGGCATCTCTGTGCTTCCCTTTTGCAGGTGCCTTGGCCAGGGCAGCCAGCCTGCATGTGGGAGCCACCCCAGGTCCACTGCTCCACGGCCCGGCTGGCATGGTCCCCCCAGGCATGCTGGGCCTGGGCCCCATAGCCAATCACGGAGCCAGCGTAAGCGCCACCGTGTGGGTCGGGGAGCTAGAGCGGGGGGTCCTCCGGGGCTGGGGTGCCCCACCCTCACCCTGACCTCTGTCTCCCCCTCTTGCGGCCTCTGCAGATGAACCAGATCCCTGTGGGGGGCCAGCCCTCATCCAGCCTGCAGGACCAGCCACAGCTGTACTCGCCCGCCTCCCAAACGCAGTTACCGCTGCCCCCAGGCACCCAGCAGGTACCGGAGGCTGGCGGGGGCCCCTGGACTCGGAGACACACACCCCTGCCTTGGGCTGGCCAGGGAGCTCTCTGAGCCTCAGTTTACTCCCCTGCAACATGGGCATAACATTCCCCGTGTGCATGTCATTGAGTCCTTCATTCAGTCCCGTAAAACCGCTGTGCAGGGCAGGGACAGGATTATCTCCCGGGGCCATAGACCTGACATCTTGCTAAACAGCATCTCCTGAAAAGGGAACCCGGGGTCGGGGCTGGGGGGCGTCCTGTGAGTGGCTTATGCTCTCTCTCACCTTTTCTCTCTGCCACCCTTCCCTGCCACGCCTGTGAGAAGCGCCCCCCTATGGGCCTGTACGGCTCCCCGTTTGGAGCACGGCCTCCCTACCCCCAGCCCCGCATGGCTGTGCATTCGTCTCGGGAACTGCACCCCAAGCACTACCCCAAGCCCATCTACTCATACAGGTGAGGTCCAGGACGGGCTGGGGCCACGGGGGGCTTGGGGAGGAGAGGGGCGAGGCTATCCCAGACAGCTAGATGTGGTGCGATGGCTCAGACTTGCAAGGGGGAGTTTGGGGGGGAGTGGGGAACCCCCAGGTGGGACCTGCTCGAGGAAGGCCCGTCGTGTGTCCAGTCAGCCCCCAGGGCTGAGAACCCACTCCCAACTCTGTCACTCATAAACTGTGTGGCCTTGGGGAAGTGGCTTGGCCTCTCTGAGCCTCAGTTTCCTCTGGTGTAAAGTCATCGAAACAAGAGGATTGTGTACCTCACAAGATTTGGATACGGCTGGGGCGGGGGGTAAGCAAGCCTGGTTAAAGTCTAAAGGCCCATAGGCATGGATTACGGAGAAGGAATAAAGAGAGGAAAAGCACTTCCTCAGATTGGTACCAGTGTCCGAGCTCAGGGTCAAGGAGAAGGGCGGGAGGTGGGGAAAACGTAGGGCTGTGGAAAGGTACCAGAGCTAACGCCGTTGGAGTGTGTAGGGGCTGGTACCGCTGGGGTCAAGCAGGGCAGGCTTCCTGGCAGAGGAGACCTGGGGCCGTCAGCCCGAGCCACCGTCACCCCCGCCTTCTCCACCCTGTGCCTCCAGCTGTCTGATTGCCATGGCCTTGAAGAACAGTAAGACAGGCAGCCTGCCTGTGAGCGAGATCTACACCTTCATGAAGGAGCACTTTCCCTACTTCAAGGTGAGGGACCCCAGCCTGGCCTGGGGGTGCTGGAGCCGCTCCGGCCTCTCATACTGCCAGAACCCAGGACCTGGCCCCGGGGCCACACCGGGTCGCCCTTTTAGGCCCCCAGTTGTGTCCATAGGCACCGTTCACACAGTCAGGGGCAAAGAAATCCAGAAGGGAAAGGGGGCATCTGGGCTGGGCTCTAACGAGGGAACAAGTTCACCAGGCATCCACGGCAGCAGGGGAGGGGGGCGGCGGGAAGAGGGGCTAAGCTAGTTACTCAGCACCGACTCGGTTCAACATACGGATGCAGGGGCCCCTGGGTGGCTCAGTCACTTGAGTGTCTTGATTGCAACTCAGGTCATGATCCCAGGGTCATGGGATCAAGCCCCACGTCGGGCTCTGAGCTCAGTGTGGAGCCTGCTTAGGTCGGTCCCTCTCTCTCTCTCTCTCTCTCTCTCTCTCTCTCTCTCTCTCCCCCCTTCCCTCCTTCTCCCGGCTCACGTGCTCTCTTCCCCTCCCTCTGAAAAAGTGAACAATTTCAAAAACATACTGATGCAGAACACAGGCTTGGCAAGAGCTTTTGCCTCGCCGAGCCTCGGTTTTCTCATCCGTAAGATGGGGAGGATAATACCCCTCTGCCAAGGTTGGCGAGGGCTCTGCGTGTAAAGGGCCTGGCAGCTCCTGGCACGTGGTTGGCCGCTAGGAACGTTAGTTTTGCTGGCACCCAAGCAAACTCAGGCGCCGGTGGTCAGAGGGTCGGTACCAAGCTGTGAGGTCCCCGACTCGGACCGTGCCCTCCGCAGAAAATGCCGCGCACGGTAGTGTGTGCGGGAGGGGAAGAGGCCATGAGGTGCGCTGTCGTATCTGCTTACCTCACAATCAAGTGTGAGCGCTGAAAACTGTCTGGCATTGAATACACTCAGCCAGTTATCCGTGTATTCGCATCGGCTCGCTTGCTCGCCGAGCGGGAGAGGAAGGACGGAAAATTCGGCATCCCCGGGCCGGTTCTCAAGTAGTAACTGTCGGCTGGAGCCAAAGCGCACCTGCCCCTTTAACAGGGCACGGGCCCTCCAGTTTGCCCCAGTCCCTACCGCTCTCTCTCGTCTTCCCAACTCAAGGCGGGTGTCGGAGTGTCGTTTTACCCCGCCCCTGCCGCGCCTGCCCCTCTAGGCCCGCCTTTGAGAGGCCCCTGGAGAGGAAGAGCTCATAGGGAGGTCTCTGAGGGGGTCTCCTGCGCGTCCGTCTCTCCCCACAGACGGCTCCCGACGGCTGGAAGAACTCGGTGCGGCACAACCTGTCCCTGAACAAGTGCTTTGAGAAGGTGGAGAACAAGATGAGTGGCTCCTCGAGGAAGGGCTGCCTGTGGGCCCTGAACCTGGCCCGCATCGACAAGATGGAGGAGGAGATGTACAAGTGGAAGAGGAAGGACCTTGCCGCCATCCACCGGAGCATGGCCAACCCCGGTGAGGCCCACACGCACCGCCCGGCCCGGCTCTGCCTGCGTCCTGCCTGGCCGGCACCAAGTCTCGGCCCCGATGGGGGGCACACGGGCCTCTGGTGAACTTCCCGCCTGTGAACTATGCCTCCCCTCCCTCCCCCGCTCCCCTGTGGCTGCTCAGCTCAGAGCCCTGGTCACAGGCCTGGGAAAAGCTGTTCAGTCTCCCCTCAGCAACCCCTAGTTTCTTCCAGAGAAACACCAGACGAGACAACCACGGGATGACGTCGCTTTCGTACTTCTCCTACCACATCGGCACTGAGTTTTAAAACCATAAAATAATAGGGGCGCCTGGGTGGCTCGGTCGGTTAAGCATCCGACTTGGGCTCAGGGCATGATCTTGTGGTTCGCGGGTTCAAGCCCCGGATCGGGCTCTTGGGCTGGCAGCTCAGAGCCTGGAGCCTGCTTCGGATTCTGTGTCTCCCTCTCTCTCTGTCCCTCCCTCATCACGCTCTGTGTCTGTCTGTCTCTCTCGCTCAGAAATAAACGTTAAAAAGACTTTTTTACATATTAAAAAACATAAAGTGATAAAATAATAAAGTAACAACACCCAGTGTGGGCTAGGATGTGGAGAAACAGGCACCTCCGTGTCTAACTGATGGGAACCTAAGTGAAACTTTTCCAGGACACAGTAATAGAACAAAACCCTGCAAACTGTACCTCATTGTTTGCACCAGTTATTATTTTTTTAAGTTTATTTATTTATTTTGAGAGAGAGAGACAGGGAGAACAAGTGGGGGAAGGGCAGAGAGAGAGAGAGAGAGAGAGAGAGAGAGAGAGAATCCCAAGTAGGCTTCACGCTCAGCGTGGAGCCCGACGCGGGGCTCGAACTCACAAACTGTGAGAGCGTGACCTGAGCTGAAACCAAGCATCGCTTAACTGACTGAGCCACCCAGGCACCCCCTTGATCCAATCACTTCTGGCCACGTGTGCTGCGGAGATCAAAGATGTCAACAAAAGGCTGACACACAACGTGATTCATCACAAAATTATTTCTAACGGTAAAAAATTGAAAGCAATCTAGACACCCTACAAGAGGGGATTAGTTAAATAGACACAATGTCATACCATGCAAGGACTAGAGAGAAAAATATTTTTGGAATAGAAAGAAATACTTCCAACACAACAGGTGAAAAAAAGACAGGTTATGAAGCAATATCACACAGCTTCATCATATTTTAAAATGCATATGTGATGTTACATGAACATATACATTTATATATGTGTGTATATCCACTCATGTGCGTATATGTACTTACATGGACACACACACACACACACACACACAGACTAGAAGAAATATACCAAACTCTTTACTGTGAATGAAGAGACCACTGGTAATTTTTATATTCTTCACGTTTCTGTATTTTCCAAATCTACCCTGTTCGTGAACCTCTTTGCTTATGAGAAAAAAATATGGCTTTTTTTTTTTTTTTTTTTTTTTTTTTTTTTAATTAAGAGATGTGAAGGGGAGGGGAGAATGTGCAATGAAAGGCCAGTCCCACCCAGCCTTAGGAATATGTGGCCTGACTCCATGGGGATTGGCATGCCTGGTGTTTGCATATGAAGGAGGACAGGAGTATAACTCAGACACGAATAATTCAATAAAGAGAGGAAAAGGGGACCATAGCGGGGTCCGGGAGGCCCTCAGCAGAATGAGTACCGTGTGATGCCCACCCCTCAGAGAGCCCTGGGGTCTGACTTGAGACCTGAGGCCAGCCCTGACACGTTTAGAGTAAGACCCAGGTTGGAAGCATCCTCTAAAGTGAGTGTAACCTAAATCGATCCCGGGACCCTAGCGGTCCAGTCTCGAACTGGTGTTACAGTCCAGGAGACACGAGCCAGCAACCAAAAGTAATTCCACAGTCATGGTCTTGTTCGTATCCAAGGCTGTCAAGGAGGATCCAGCTTTAACTCACGGCAACACTTCTTAATGTCTCTTGAGCAGCAGGGATTTTGTCCCCATGTCGTGGATTTGTAACCTCTGCCTGACCTCCTCTTGCAGGGCGTTAGGAGCTCCAGGCGAGGTCCTAGGGTTACTGCACTGTCCCAATGAGAGGAGCTCATGTTATTATCCGAGGCCCTTCTCATTCCTCAAAGACCCTACACTGTGATTTCATGACATTCCCCCAACAACACTGTGCAGAGCGTATGATGCCATCTCCTAGATGGAGAGACTGAGGTTCAGAGGGTCCAAGAGGTTGGCTAACGGTCATGCGCATGGTGTACCACTGGGGCCTGGGAACTGCAGGGTGGCTGCTGAGTGACCTCTCCCACTTGCCTGCAGAGGAGCTGGACAAGCTGATCTCGGACCGACCGGAGAGCTGCAGACGCCCTGGCAAACTGGGAGACCCCGAGGGCCCCGTGCTGACTCATGCCACCACGGTGGCCATGGCCCATGGACGCCTGGCTGTCTCCCAGCTTCCGCCCCAGCCACTGATGACCCTGTCCCTGCAGTCCGGCCCCCTGCACCACCAGGTCCAGCCCCAGGCACATCTCGCCCCAGACTCTCCCGCCCCGGCCCAGACCCCACCGCTGCACGCCCTGCCGGAACTGAGCCCCAGCCCCCTCCCCCACCCCACCATGGGAAGGGCGCCCGTGGACTTCATCAACATCAGCACCGACATGAACCCTGAGGTGGATGCCCTGGACCCCAGCATCATGGACTTCGCTCTGCAGGGTGAGGCCGGAGGAGTGGGGGGTGGGGGTGGGGGGGCCGGAGGGCCAGGAAGATGGGGGAGGGCAAGAGAGAGGAGGTCTGTCTGCATTTCCACCTCCGCTCATTCCTTCAACAAGCACTCCCCAACCGCCTAATGACGGTGAAGTACAGCCAGCATTTAGTGAGCGCTTACTGTATACCAGGCCTCGTGCCAAACGCGTCATAGCCATCACCCCCATGTCACCCTGCATCGGCCCTGGGGGGCCACTGCCATTTCACGTCCCCATCCTGCCAGTGAGGAAACTGAGGCAGAGGAGTGAGGTCCCCTGGCTCGCCGGTGGCCCAGCCGGGATTTCAACCCAGGTCCGTCCGACCCCCAACTTTTCCTCAGTAACTGCTTCCACTCGCACGTGCCAACCTCATGCCGGGTCACACTCTGGCCCCCACTGCCTGCCACACGGTCGTCCCTGATACACAGGAGCTGAGCGGATGACCGAACGAATGAGGGAGGTGCCTTGTGACTCATCCGTTCACGACCGTGTGCCAGCCAATGGCCGAGAACTCCTCTGCCCTCAAGGAGTTCGGTGTCTAGAGAGGGAAACGGACCGGTCGGCAGTTTGTTAGTTAGCAAGCGAGCGAGTCACGTACAGCTGTGAACTGGGTGTATCCAGACCTCGCCGCCTCCTGCCTGTCCCCCGAGATTATCATGTAGTCAAACTGTGTTGTGCTGTTCTGTCCCCTGACCTTGCCACAATGGGACCCCTTAGTGAGAGTAAGTGCTTTCCACACAGCCCCCTGTTTAAGCCCCCGAGGGGAGGAGGAGTGGGGGGTGGGGGCGATTGTCTCCATTTCATTCCAAGGAGCCTGAGGCTCTGAGACAGAAGTGAAGTTCCCAGGGATGCCCAGTGGGAAGGGAAGGGGCGGCTAGAACGAACTTGGTGTCTCCATGCTCTCCTGCGGTACCCGACTTTGAACCCCAGACGTGGTCTTTGCCCCTTCCTTAAGATAGGATCTGAACTCGGGTCTGTTTGACACGAAGCCAGCTCACCCAACCGCTTTTGTCTTTGAAAGGGAACCTCTGGGAGGAGATGAAGGATGGGGGCTTCAGCCTGGACACACTGGGGGCCTTCGGAGACTCCCCCCTCGGCTGTGAGCTGGGGGTCTCGGGCCTGACCCCCGTCTCCGGCGGCAGCGACCAGTCCTTCCCAGACCTGCAGGTGACAGGCCTGTATGCTGCGTACTCGACCCCAGACAGCGTGGCCGCGTCGGCCACAACCTCGTCCTCCCAGTACCTGGGCAGCCCAGGGAACAAGCCCATCGCCCTGCTTTGAGGTGACGCCTCACCCGCCCCGGCACCCGGAACCCCGGGCTTGGGGTTCCTGGACGCAAGGCCTCTTACGTCTCCGTCGGCACCCTGGGCCCTCTCGCACCTCCGCAGGAGGCCTTTGGGGCCACCTCGAGTCAGAAGGACAGAGGACAACGGACAGGCATTGCAGCCTCCCTGACCTCCTGACACCTGAGAACGAGATTTCTCCAGCCTGCATCCCCGCTGGGCTCCCCAAACGACCCGCAGTCCCCTCTGGGGTGGGACCTCCATGGAAACACCCCGGCAGGGAGGCCCTTTAATTTATTCTTCTGGGATTAAGCCTCCACCTCAGCCTCCAGAGGACAGGCCTTGAGGCCAGGAGCAGAGCTGGGAGACTGGCGCACCTCTCTTGGACCGGACCGGGCTGAACTCCGGAATGGGTGCCCGGCCCTCCCCTCCAGGCTCCCCACTCCCGGAGTCTGTTAGAGTTTCACACAACAGGTCCTGGGCCCATGCGGGGCACTGTGTCCCTGTGTACATTTATTTATATTTATTGGAGCCCATCCACACCACCTCTCGGAACCCAGCCCCTGGCCTCTGGAATGAGAGTCCCCAGTACCTCTCCCTGCATCCTGGCAACCTTAACTCCCGAATTACCGGTGAATCGTGACGCCAACTGGCTCTTAACACCTTTGCAGCCCTGGGCTGCTTTTTTAGAACAGAAAGCACTTTTGACACTATGAGACATCCACTTTTTCTAAATTAGGTTCCAGATACTTTTTTTTTTTTT